CCCACTAAGTATTGCAGTTGATCCAAGCATAGCTAGATTAAAAAAATGCCCCCTTTTCCCATTTCTGACATCTGAGCATGCGCGACCACACCCAAATTTTGGAGCACATGTTTCTTTTAATTAACAAAATGGCGGCACGAGGTATTTTGTTTACCACAAGCCATTACAGACAGAAAAGACCCATCTATACTATATCCCAACTGAGTTTGACCCAAGAAAAACTGGAATAACTTTTTATAGGAATGTGGGATAAGGATGAAACTTTCACAGATTCTTAATCGCCCAATGCCATCACAGGATCTGAGGTCTTGGGTCTCTAAGCCCTTGGGAACCCTGAGAACCGGGTCCTCCCTATAAACCCAATGGCATACATGTCCAGAAATGAGTGGACACGGAGTAGTATACTGAGCATTTATCTCCGTATACCACTGATTGACTTTATACAGGGCAGGAATGGACATTTCCATTTACTAGGCTATATCTTTCTTTACAATAAGAATCATCAATTTGCGCACTTCAGTAGCTGTTCTTCATCCATCTACCTGTGTTCCTGCTAAATATTACAGCATTTGGAGTAACTTTGTGTGGAACATTTACCAATTGAAGATGAGGCAGTCAGTGCCGCCATCTTGTCATTCCTTTATGTATGTATGATAATTTTTTTACTTTTTGAATGGTTATATCTAAATTTCAAACAATTTTTGACAATTTGCTCACTTATTTTGTGAAAGTACAAAATTCTTACTACCCAATGATGCAAAAAAAGATAAAGAAATTCAAAACTTTGTTTGGAACATTTGTCTCCTGAAGGTGAAGTAATTTTAGCCATTTCAATGATGACGGGTGCAGCAGCAAGAGTCAACAAGTCACAAGTGCTTTCCTCTTCTCTTAGGAATAATAAAGTGAAAGAAAGAGTGCTTAACATCTTATATATACAAGCAAATAGTGTCTCTAGACCTTTTTGAAGTAAGACGGCCGTTTTTTGAGAAGAGCTCGTTCTTTCACCACGCTTGCCACTTTAACAAAAGAATATGAGAAAACTACCATAACCAATTGCATTAAGTAGCATTCTAGAAGCCTCAAGTATCTAGTGAAGTCCCATCCATGAACCAGAAAGACGTTAGCAAGCTTTGTAGTGAAGCTTCCTATCAATCCACCATTGCTGAACTGCCGTTGCTATGGTAATTCCAATGAATATCATTAAATTAACGCGACCGGAAGTCCCATTGCAATTTCTGGACATGACCAAAATGACGTTTTATGACAATTTATCTATGTCATAGTTTACATAAGAACATGTGGTCGAGCGCCCAAACTGATAATTCTTCTTTTTAAAAGCTAACAGAGAAAGATTTTCTGATAATAATGACCTTTATGAAGACTAGTTGACTCCAGCAGCTATTGTACTGCTTATCAGAACAAACAAAACCTTTTTAAGAGTGCAATACAGGCCAACTACGCAGCTGTAAAATATCGGCCATGCTTCTATGAATATAATTATAAGACGTCATCAGTGACGTATACCTACATTTTTTAAATTCCAAGTGGCTGGTGTCAAACTCAGTTGGGATATAGTATAGTAACCTTTAGTTTTCGGAAATATATGGAGCTGGTTAATTATGCATGTGTAATCATGTGTATAGTTCTAATTAGTCTAGTCTGGCAAGATTGTGCCCCTTCCTCAGTGTCCTAGGTGTCTTCAGTGTCCTACTGAGGTGTCCTCAGTGTCCTAGGTGTCCTAGGTGTCCACAGTGTCCTAGGTGTCCACAGTGTCCACAGTGTCCACAGTGTCCTAGGTGTCTACAGTGTCTTAGGTGTCCACAGTGTCCTAGGTGTCTACAGTGTCTTAGGTGTCCACAGTGTCCTCAGTGTCCTAGGTGTTGGGACTTGGTAAAAGCGGGGTGGGGATGGGGATCGGGATCGGGATTTCATCGGTAAAAGCGGGGTGAGGGTCCGGATGGGGAGTGGGATTTTATCGGTAAAGGCGGGGTGGGGATCCCGAACTGGAAAGGTGGGGATACATGTGAATAGTCTTCTTGTATCATCTGTGTTTGTATTCACAGCTCTATACAAGTTCATTTTCCGCATTGCAAGCCCGGACAATTTTAAAACTACATTCTAAGCATATGCAGAAGGCCTGTATGAGTATAGGCTTTATTATATTTTTATTATACAAACTTAACTATTGGAGTAGAGATTTCTCATTTATTATATAATTCATAATATCATAAGTTCTTTTCTGTAGAATATATTAGCATCTTCATGTGACATGCCTCTTTGAAATGCTAAGACCATCACCATCGCCTAAAAATGTTGTGGGTATTAATATATCAATTTTTATCACAGTATAATACTGATTACTGACCTCTGGCCATAATAAATTAACTGCTAATGCCTTCCTTTTGGTGACATCCTCACAGTGCAAAGAACTTATTTCTTCGAGGTACAGAAATATTAATTGTGACTAATATGAATTATAAAAATTAACAATAAATTTATAGAAATAAAAAACTTACAACTACATCATTTTGTAAAGGCCAAATACTCTGTGGTTGTGTTATATTCTTGCTGTGAAAGGTTTTTTTATCATAAAAGCTGCTAGATTTTGGATTTCTAGCTGTCTTGACAAATTTCACCTATTGTATTGATAAAATGAATAACATGCTCTATAGCATCAGTTGCACAACCTCTTGAGACTTCAGATCATCAAATAAATCTGATACAGTTTGTGGTCCAATCCTATACATTGAAGGTTATCAATATTCAACTGTGAAAACAGTGTAAAAACCTTTCTGGAGGGTGTGACTTCTTTGCAAATTCCATCATGACTGAGGTAAATGATTGCTTCCAATTGTAATTTATGTCATCATCATCATCCATAAGCTCCTCAGGATAATCAGGTACAAGAATAGGTATCGTTTCATAATCTTAATGCATAAATATGTATCTAATTTTCATATACATAGAAGCGTAGTGTACCTTCATCATCTCCACTAGTTACAGGTGAATTAAGCTTCTCATCTGCATATTCTGCTTCTAAATTGAGCCATTTTAGCCATGAAAGTATAATCTAATTATCCATACCTTCTTTATCAGTGTCCTTCTTAAAATCATCATCCTCATCATCATCATCATAAGACATTACAGGCTTAATTTCTTCAATGATACTAACCCAATTTGAATTTGAAATTTTAAACTCGTACTTGCTTGTTGCATTACTAGAAAATACAAATTATATTACTAATCATAATTAAATTAATTGTGATCAAACAGGTTGATTAGTTCCCGAAATAACCATTTTCGAAAATGGTTTGGATCGCTCTGCAAAAGAAGTGACTTTGATTAAACTAAATTGAGTAACTTACATTGAAATGCAATGATTTGCTGTAAATAATGGCTCTAGAATACTAATGACATCAATGAATTCAGTATTAAGTTTTGTCGTTGCATTTACCTTGCAAATAAATACTCCAGAGTCACTTAGATGTTGATGCAGTGTTCTTTCCTAATATTATTTATAAAAAATTGAAAGCATTATAATTGCTTCATCATAAACTATTTTCCATTTAGTTAAGTGCCTACTTTTACCATACATTCTCATGTAGTGTCCTTCAATAGCTTCACTAAATTTTTAGACATTAGTAATAAAAAGTGTAACAGTAGTACAATTAATGTACCATATGTTATTGTTATCCAGTACTTTCTTATGGTCTTGATGTCCCAACGGATCTAAACATTTTATTATTCTCTTTCCAAGATCAATTGCCTTAAAAAGGATTTTAAACTCATAATTTAAAATTTAAGTCATAATGTACCACAAGAATCCAGTGTGATGACAACTGTATAGGGCACATGAGTCTTCTCACTTGCTGTATGTCAAGCTACATAAACTATAGCAATAATTTATATTTGCTTGCAATACTTTAATATGGCTATCAGAGTTTCCTTGCAAAATAGCTGTGTAAAATTGAGTTGACAGACAATATGAGTATGTCCTAGCAAATGTTACATCTTGCACCCAATTCAAAATATGCATATAGAAATCAATTATCAATTATGAAAAATATTTTTAATGTAGTGTTCATGCAACATGCAACAAGCCTTGTCTGTAATACATTCCCCATCACAAATAACTTTTAGATCCTTCATTGAGAGCCCTTGTCTTCCGTTACTGTGAATGTCCTTGATAAAAATAAAGTCATCACTCTCTAGAAATGAAGTTGTAAATGATGTATTCTTGCCAAGCTATCAAGTAATGCTAACCTGGAAATGGAACATATTTCTTAATAGCAACCACTGCATATTTAATTGTATGAGTGACAGAAATTATACCACTTCCCTGACATTTCATTGAGTTGAGATCCTCTCTTGTTACAGCACAGGCTACAGTTTCTGGTGCACAAATTTCTGTGACAAAATAATAAGCATATGACCCATCCTTTCCAAAGAGATATTCATCACGTAAAAGGTTGAGTCTCTGTTCCTTTGTCTTCTTGATGTCATCATAATAATAAAACTTATCTCTCCACATTACGACTGAAGTATAATGACCAGTGGTATGCAATGAATATCCGGCTAGTTTAAAACTAAAACCATATATATCAATACTTCTTGGTAATAGCTGAGTTTCAGTTCCTTGAAGTAGAGAAATATTAATTAGAATCATCCATGGTCTCCTAGATAAGAACGATGCTTTTAATGCCTGAGGCCTACCTCCACATGCATAGAATGTTTCCCTCTCTTGTCCATCCCTATCTATCTTTACACGATCACACACAACCTGCTCAGACTGAATTGGTGGTTCGGCAACAAATTCGGCACCACAATAACCTTGTATCATATCACCAGAAACAGGAAACAAATGCTTCAATTGACTATCAAAACACTCAGTAGATGGCTTGCGAAAAGAAAACGACGCAATATTTCTAATAACCTCCTCCTTTTCAGTTGGACAATACTGAGATGTACATTGCTGGACCAATAAAATTATAATTCTGGAAATATTTCTGAAGATAGATAGAAAGTTTGAATGCTCGTTACCATAGCAATCAAACAGATGATTACTGGATTTGAAATTAACTTTTTTGTGTACATGCTGAAGGATAACATCATGTCCTTCAGTTAAATTCCCCTGTAACATAAGCATTATTCCTGTTTTAAGAACATCTTCAGAGTCACTGTCATTCAAAACAGTACTAAGATAGCCAGGATGCTCTTTGCAGTGCAACATAAGAGTTGTCAAGAAATTATCAACTGTGCAAGTATTAGTAAAATTTTCAGCACCCCACTCAAGAGTCATTGGTACAGTGCAGTGGTGACACATAAATTGCACCCTCCTATTTGGAGGACTTATACCCAGTTTCCTGAGACAATAAGTATGGTACCACATCTTGCATTTACAACAAAAGTGCATATTGAACTCCTTTTGCCGTGTCCCATATATTGCAGCTGATGTGGACCCCTCAATCCAGGGAATAAAGCAGTCACAAAGAAGCTGAACTGTGACAACCTTTGTCTTGCAAAACTGACCACTTGCGACTTCTATCTGCAATGATGGTTTGTAGCCTGTCATGAAACTGTGCAGCTGTTCAGACATTGTAGATAGTATGACACAGACTTCCCCCAAATCTGTCTTTGGCTGACTGCACACACCAAACAAAAAAAAAGCTGTTACTAGGTCTGCATCATTTTCATTATCACAAAACTGAACGCCATTATGCCTTGCTATAAATGTGCAGTGAAGCTTTAAATTGAGATGCCTGCCAGCTAGGTACTCCAATTCAGAACAATCTGGTTTTTGATATGCAGAAATAATCTAAAAGTTAAGCAAAACATAATCAAGAGCAGCATTGATTTGAAATAACATATAAGATAGTACAGCTTACTTCAATAACAGGAGATCTGCTTTGATTGTCAATCCTACGTATAAATGCAATCTGATTAGATCGCCTGGTTACAAACACCAAAATTTTATTAACTTCGATAGTGACTGCATCCTAAAAAAAGTCAGAATTACTTAATCAAGTATGCTACAAAGATCTCTAGAGCAAATTATACTAATATTATTGATAGTTTATTAAATGACAAAGTCATACCTCATTCAACTTAGATTCAAAAATTTTAGGATACTGAAGAACATTAGGAAATAACAGGAAAATTTTTCCTATGTAATTCTGCCAAGTAAAATGGGGTTCACTTGATGTATGAAGCAAACGTCTATCAACTTTACTCTCCTCTAAACGTTGTGATGCAGCTCCTTCTGCTTAATAATTAAATTGAAACTAAATAAATTATTAATAAACGAACCTTGGCTTTGTGTCTTAACTCTTTTATTCTTATTTTTAGAACTTTTTCCATTTGAATCAACAGGTTGACCATCACGTGTAACACTATTATCCATCTCTGTAATAAAATAATAAAGCACATTTACATTCAATATCTGAAATATGAATGCACATAAAAAAATACAAGAATAAATAAACAATTATAATTTACTTCGAATATTTCTACTTTTAGAATGACCTTCTCTGATACCCACATTCTTAGATTCAGTATCATCTGTAATAAACAGTAAAACATGTACACATAAATATACATTGTGTAACCTTCTTCAAAATCCGACAATCCAGTGTCTGGTGGATTCATTGGTTTAAAGTCAAAATTTCAAGGTTTTTTCCTCCCCGCTGGCTTTTCTTTTCTCTTTCTCCTTGCCTGTTGCTGTAAACATGTCATGTTAGGCTTTGGTGGAACAAAATCCCTTATTTCTTGTCCAGTCATTAATTTACAAGCAAGAATGTGGTAACAGTTTTTACCCTGTGCACAGGAACACTGCTCCTTAGGGAAGAGCCTAACAGCATAAGGTGTCTTTCCATCAGTAGCTCTCACTACCCAGCAACCTGTGTCAGCTAAAGAAACGTACCGTTTTTCTACAGCATCAACAGCAAGAGAAAATATGCTGCTATCCACAGTTAAATCTGTTTTTCTATTGGCTGACTCAATAATCTCTTTGTCATCTTTGCCGGAATGAGATGGTAGTAAGCCACTTTTAACTCTAGCAACTATCTCTTTAGGATCAGAAACTTTGGGCAAACGGGGCATAAGAGATGGTTCTCGTAGTAGATGAAAGTATTCATCTTTAACATTCCAGTTGCCTAACTGGTGTAAAGCTCTTTCAATTTCTCTGTAATAATACGAGCTTAAATGAAATAAAGAGAGGCAAACCATGTCTAGGGGAACTTGTTTCCAATTCTGTAAGGCATGAAGAACAGCATTGATTGACTCAGCAGGGTTATTAGTAATTCCCATGTCTGGATTAGTAACTCCAACTTCTTTCAATATCCAGATTGCTGCATGAGTTTTGAATGCAGGCAACAGTCTATTTTCAAAGTAGTTCAGAACAACTTGCTTGCCTTGAAAGCGTTCATTTACCTTTATATCACGCCACAGTTTATCAAGATCATCTTCTGTCTCTTCCATCATCAAATTCTTAAATATCTGAACAAAAAACTAATATCGGTGGCACTGGCATTTGCCTTGCTCTTAAGATAGTGAATTAGATCCTGTTCCAAATGGTTCCAACAATAGTCTCGCCACGCCCCTTGCCGC